ATGGCCTTCGAGCGTCTGGAGGCAGGGGCTCCATTTCTTTTGCATAGCTGGCTTTATTGTGACCCAGCCCGGCTCTTCTCTCTTAAAAAGACCTCTTATTAGACTTTGAGTAGGACTAAACATAAGTGCAGACATATACACCTGAAGAGGACTGTTCTCTATTGCCCCCTTGTGATACATAGTGAATCGGCGTGCGTCTTGAACGAGTTCGATTAACCCTGATGCATCTGATTGTCGCTATATTATCTTAGCATAAGCCCTTTTTAGATATTATTGTTAACCTAATATTTACCTGAACTATTGACTGAAGTTTTGTTATTGAAACAATTCCAGTCGGCATACTCTTGCAGAGGCTAAGAGCCTCGAGCCAATACAGGTACTTTCCCTGAAGAAAGCTGTCGACAGCGCCTCCATCCTGCAGGTCAACTCTTTGATTTCCAGAACAGTTGACATTCCAGGCTTGGAGGTGATCAATCCAGTAGATACACGAGTAGCGTGACGCTGCTAATGGGTCTGGATCCCGCTGTTCAATGCTCCTAGCAGGATATCCAAACGCACTTAAGCTGTACATATCCCGGTGTAGCTTCTCTGACATAACTTTAAGCGATCTTGAGTAGATTGTGTAGTGCGCCTCTTCTATTCCAGATGGGAAGATTTTCTCAAATGCATCTGTAAATAGAAAGTCCCTTGCGGATTGATGTACGAAATAGATAGTGTCATCTCGAATAGTGAGGAGAGATCCACACTGGCCAATAATATCTCGTAACGACTTAAGATGATCCCGGATATCGTCAAGCATCTCAACAAGAGATGTCAATTCTTTTAGTGTGATTGGCCGGTATACAGTCGCTATTAAAGCTAGTATTTGGTTGCAGAGACTAGCATCGTCTGATTTATATATCTGCTCTGTCATTCGCTTGTAAAGAGAATCCAATCCAGGTGGAAATTCTTTCAACCTTTTAATGACGTTCCATCGTGAAATCTCTTCAAGGTTTTGACAGACTAAAGCTACCCAGAGGAAGGTGTTGTGCGCATGCAAAGATAGATATTCTAATACAGCGTCTCGAGTTTTGTCGTCGTACATCTTCGTTGTTGCTAGCCGAAGCACTCTGTGTTGGATGAATGCGCTAACTGCTGTAGAAACAGACTCTGCATTTAGTTCTAGGCAGAGTCTTACCTTTTGCCCAGCCATCTTTAGATACTCCTCGATGTCAGGCCGATTGCGACTAGAGACAATCCACTTAACTCGAGAAGATATAGAGGATGTCTGGACTATAAAGTGCAACAGTTTTGGTAAATCCGCTATACATTCATCCAGCGCATCAATAATTAAGTAGGCGTTTAAGCTTCGGTCCTGCAGGATGTTTGTAAATATCTCAGTTAAGGCAACCCAGGCATTTTTATCCTCAAAGAGGGCCTTGCCAGCATGCTCGTACTTCTTCAGTATATGCGAGCAAAGCGATGGCTGCTGGTCAATGAGCATATACAGCAGACCTCGGAGCACAGCAGTGGGGGTGTTGCTTCGCAAGTCTATGGCCTCGATGAAGAAGTAGGACAGGATATGTGTCTCAGCCATTGGCTTCTCCAGTTCGTTGATGATTCCACATAGTAACATTGTCTTGCCCTTACCAGGATCGCCCTTGATCCATAGCAATTGGCTCTGCGGATCGTTATGCCACTGTTGGAACTCGAGGTTTTCTAGGATCCAGCGGTACGAGTCCTCTATTAGCCCTTCCTTGGTTTCCTCAATGCGCTTCTTGTCAAGGCGGGGATCTGTCTCCCGCAGATCCTTCAGTAAGTTCCCGACCTGGAGGTTGGTTTGATGACTTTGATTATCTACTCAGGAAAAGAATTAGTTAGGCAAGGAACTATCAAACTCTGCTCTTACTTAAGAATTATGCTTGGACATACTGGAAATGTGGGAAGTTGGATTGATTGGGGGGCCTAGTTTACACCCGTCAAATCTAGACGTCTCTCATATCACACTAATTCTTCCTACCAATAGTTGCCCCGCCACTGATTACATATATATCTCCCGATCCTTTATGGAAGCTCGCGGTCCCTTGGTCAGCGATACACACGCTATCACCACTGCCGCTATGTGTTAGGTGCACACTTCTAGCTTCGTCCGGGAGAGAGGTAGGCATTTTCTCCATTTCATTGATCGCCTCTTCAAGCTCCTTCATTTGAGCATTGGTAACGGCTCCCGTAAGCCTCTCGCATGCAAGCACTTGGATGTCCAACAATATCCCTTCCATCAAACACTCCACTTTAGCCCCTTTCCCTAGTGTACCTAGGGCCTTCTTATATCGGTCGTACCACTTGTCGTCATCCTTTCGAATAACCCTCTGGAAAAGTTTCTGGAGATCCTGAGCCTTCTTATTGCATGACTGTAGAAGGGGTCTCAGTGAGTCCTGTGCAGACATGTCGAGTGTCTGTACCCTCTCTTTGGAGATTTGGAGGATATCGTTGACTAGCGGTAGTCGTGCAGCCACCTGGCGAAATGCATCTGGCTGGCCTTTCGCATCTTTGGTGGCATCATATACCGTTTTAGTTGCCTCGGTGATCGAGATGACGCCTGAAATCAGACTAATAACAGCCCCAGCCTCGATGAAGCCGGTCATGATAGGTAGTTGACGACGATCTTAGTGAGCGTATGTTAGGCGGTTGAATGTGCTAGAACTATAAGTATTTGACAACACAGCGAAGTATAGCCTTTAGACTTACAAAACCGGACGATGCTGCCCGGTGAGATCGAGATGCGCAAAGAGCGTTTGCCAAGGAGCGAGGCTCAGAGAACTCAATACTTTGGTATAAACATAAGGGGTAATGGCAGACAACTGAACGAGTTATATTTTATTCTCTCGGCCTAATGAATGAGAACGCAGCGCATTTTCCGCACGTTTATTATTCCTTCGCGGCGCGCTCAGCAATGAGGAGATGGTGGGGTTTGCGTGGAATAACAAAGCCTAGGCCCTGGATCTATGAGGGCTAGAACACACCTAGCAAAGCATAGGCATGGGTTGCGCTTCGTCTAACGCCCCCAAAACAACAGCTTAGAAGGCGTCAGCGAATCCTTTTCTGTTTTTGCTTTTTGCGGTCGTGAATATCTGTCGGCGAGCTGCATGATGCGATTTTAGTCTCACCGGACTCGCACGACCACGTCAACAACACAAGCATAGGCAGCAGGTAGGCAGCTGAGAAAGACGGAAATATTCAGCGCAGTACTATCATTTTTCATTTAAATGTCTTCGCGTTAAGGGCGGAAAGTTGAGCAGATCAGCTTTGGAGCGCTTTAGGCATGATGCAGAAGGTGAGATAGCTTAGGCCTTGCGGATAGCATGCTACGGCGGACTGTTAGCTGGTGAAGGAAAAAACTAATCGCTAATTTAAAAATTCTTTACCCTGCACCTAATTATAGCCTTTAGCTACTTATAACTTTATAATTATTTTATACACGTTTATACATGTTAATTTTATAATGCCTAGTAAGTGTGTCAGATTGAAGCACTGTTTCTGGGCTTCCTGAGATGAATGATGGGTTTGGATATGATGTATGGGATGATGATTGATTGTAACGTACCTAACGGGTTGGCCGGCCACACGGGTTGGCCGGCCACTTTTGCCAAGCCCCCACCACACTCTACGTATCTACATAATGCCTTAACAACAACACTAGATTAAATCTTCTAAAGAACGTTAGATACAGCTTACTCTTTAGGCTCTTAAATAAGACTTAAAACTCTCCTTACAACGCGCTGCAACTATCTATAATGTCTCTCACACAACACTAAGCGATTAACGCGCTAGAAAGCCTTTAGAAGCAGAATGCTGGCCTAAATTAAGGAATCTAACTAAGCTTAAGAAGAAGGTAGTTGTTAAGTACATACTTAAGCTTATTACGCGCGGATTTCCCCCTAGGCTTGCAGCTGTAGCTGATATAGCCAATTCCTTGCGCGCAGAGCGTAATCTAGGCCAGGTTAGCTTAAACTGGCCTAGTATGTGGGTTAAGCACTGCCCTAAGTTTACAATAAAGTTTAATCGCAAGTACAATTACAAGAGAGCGCTCTGCAAGGATCTAGAGGTTATCTAGGGCTAGTTTTGCCTAGTAGCTAATGTAACAACCGGCTATCCGGGTGTTTCCTAGGCTGTCGTAGACTGGCCTAGACTGCACTAGGCAGTCCTGGACAACTCCCAAACCGTGCCGTCAACCCCGCACTTCCCAGACAATGCCTACCTCGCCTAAAAAGCCAGGCATCCTAGACAGGTAATACTTTAAACTAGACCTACAGCATACTAGATCTGTCGCTACCAGCGCTGCTGTGCCTAGCTCTCTAGAGAAGTATATAGCCAGTTGTAGAAGCCCTCTTTAGATAGCAGAGGATCGCCTTAGGAATTAGGCGGGTACTAATTGTACTTCTATGTCACAGTTACGCTCTTATTAGTTAATACACCTCTTGATTGCAAAGTATATACCCTGTTTTTTACAGCTAACATAAAAGCTAAGTATAGTATCTAGGATAAAGACACGTATAACTTTAACAAGTTAGGCTTTATAATAAGCTAGATATTAACTAGAGCAGTTGTTACAGCTTTAGAGAGATAAGGATAGCTAAAGGCAATATAGTAAGGTAATAGGGAGTAGACAACAGTTATCTAGGGCATTAACGCAACAGGGTGGGCTATTCTACCTTTTATTATCTTTAAGGGCTGCTATCACCTCTCTGCCTAGTACAAGAAGGAGAATCTACTTTAGAACTAGGTTATTGCAGTCTCTAAAAACAGCTAGACAATAAATAAGCTTAGGCTGTAGTAGTTAAAGCACTTTAATAAGCATACAAAGAGAAGGGTTATAAGAGCTACAACTTGCTTAATTTCTAGCAGTACTATAAAGAGAATAAGATTATTACTATCTATATGCTTCTGCACTTATTGCACCTTTTACAGCCTTTTAATGTAGGTTGTTTTACCCTTCTAAAGAAGGTGTATAGGCGCTAAGCTAAAGATCTTATGTGTAACTAGATTACTTATATTATAAAACTTAAGTTTCTACTATGCTTTATACGCGCCTATAATGCAGTAATTACTTTTAGTAATATCTAAGAAGGGTTTTAAAGCGCTAGTTTAGTTCTATTTAACCTAGAACAGGTTAAAATAGCCCTTAATGTCTAGTTACATACTTTATTACTACTACTGCCTATTAATAACAAGCTTTAGTAGTTGTAAACCTTAAGCAATACCTTTAAATTTAGGTTGTAATTAATGCTTGTAAAGGTAAGAATTTAGAGGCATGTAGATAGCTTACTAACGTCTATAGTAAAGGCCTTTAAGAAGGTCTTAAAGAGGGCAGCAATTATTGCACATAAGCTAGTGTTAGCGCAAAAGAAGATTACAGAGCTTTAAGCAGTAAATAAGGCTGCTACGTAACATAAATTGCATAAAAGGAAGCAGATTTAGGCAGAAAAGACCTTAATAGTTAAGGATAGAGCTTGTCTAACTACTCTAAAGGAGTTTAAAGCGCGTAGTAATAGGAAGAAGCTAAAGACGCAGGTGCGCGCTAAAGGAGGTAAGCTAAGTTAAAGGCAATGCAGGCAGTGTAATTAGACTAGGCATAACTTGCGTACGTGTAAGAAAGTAGCAGAAGTAGACTCTAAATAATATCTTATGTTGTATTACTCTATACAGGGCTAAAGTGGGCTGTTTTGCGCCAGAATAGGGTGGTTTTAGTGGGGGCTTGGCAAAAGTGGCCGGCCAACCTGTTAGGTACGTTATATAAAGCCTTAATTTTTTAATTTTTTTTTATAAATAAAATTAGATCTTTTATAGAAAACTTAAACTTTTAAATTTACTTTTTTTATAGATAATTATTAATATATTGTTGCGTTTGCTAAAAGGTCAACCTCCTAGCTAGCACAGCAGAAGGATATATGTAGACGGATAGCTGTACGCAACACACCCCCTAGCTTAAACTGTGGAACAAGAGAGGTAAAATATAGTAAAACAACCTTAACACACCCTCTCTAGCCTAAGCAACAGAACTTAGAGACAGATCTAGTAAGGTAGCCTCTATAATAGACGCACTGCCTAAATGCTCTTTGCTAAGCGTAGGAATTAAACACGCAGTGCTCTAGGATAATGCAATCCTATTAGTAGAGCAGAGGTGTACAAATTTTTTAAGCGCTAACTATCTACACTACGCTGCAAACTAGGCTTATAACTGTTGCGTTTGCTAAAAGGTTAACCTTCTAGCTAGCACAGCAGAAGGATATATGTAGACAGATAGCTGTACGCGACATATATTTATAAAAATGCTATAACTTTTACTCTAATAAGTTATATAGTAGTTAGTAAAAAGGCTTTATTTTTTTTCTCTAGCTTAATAGCTAGATTCTGTAGGCTATGTAGTAGTACTTCTAACATTTTATTAGACTTAACTATGTTTATATATTTTTTATACTCTAGTTTTAACTTAAGCTTTATAAGTCTTAAAGAATTTTTAGTGTTATTAGACAGCACACTGTAGACATAGACATCTGTATTAGGACTTTATATAGTTTACTTAAACTCTACTGCGTCTTCTAAGGCTACCTTAGTATACTTTAGCATACTATAGTTTTTTACACTTTAAATAACATATGTTGTATATAAAAGTTTAGCTTTAGATTAAACTAATTAATTTAAAGTAAACTTAAATATATTAATGTTAAATAGGCTCTAACAGCTAGCTGCTTATAGTATAAGCACTTAAGTAGCAAGAGTAAGAGTGGTGTACAGTGTGCACAGCGTACAAGGTAGGTAAGGTAAGGGCAACATGTTTCTAGTTCTATTGCTTTTATCTTTTCTCTGTATAGAGAAAAAAAGGGATATCTAGATATTTACGCATAAAGGTTTACGCATAAGCATTATATAACATAGATATGTGATCCTGCTTATGCGCAATTGCTTATATCTAGGCTATAACACTGCTGCTGTGTACAGACACTAGCAACTTTTCTTTTTGTCTAAAGAGTTGCCTTCTGTACGCGTTACCTCCTTTTTGTCTATATAGGTCTATCTAATTACATTCTGCCTTTACTTTACCTTTATTTATTAAGACTTGCCTTAGTAATGCTGTGCGTTAAGATAGGCTAGTTGCGCTATGTAAATAGCTCTTCTTTTCTTTATCCTTTACTTTTTAAGCCTTACTGTATAATCCCCTAGCTCTTTTTTTTTTTTATACAGTGCTAGCAGTGACAGATTCTTATAATAAGAAAGATAAGTGTGTATAATATAAAAAATAAAAATAAAACAAAAGAAAATAGGCCTTATACAAAGGTGTTATTAGTCTAGTTAGTCTAAGGCATCTTTGCGCACAAGATCTAGCTAGTCCACAGATGCTTCTATCTAGACAGAAAGGCAGTTAGTTAAGACTACTAATTAAAGAGCCTAGTTTAGTGTTTTCTTTATACATACATCTACTAAGTTATCTTTACTATTAATTTACTTAATCTTAGCAATTTCCCTTTTTTTATATAATTTATAGAGTAACATAATGTTAATTATAAGTTACTTTTTACTAGTAGTGCTTAGCTTAATAAAGTAATTATATAAAGACTTTAAATTTATGCAGATTACTACTAAGATTAGTAGTAGTTTAAGTGTTTATATAATTTACTATAAAGTTATACTAAAAGTAATTACATTATTAAACCTTTTAACTATTTTATATAGTTTACTTGTTAAATAGACTCTCTGCTAGCTAGCACTTAGTGTCAGCAAATGCGTACAAGACAGAGAGGTTTGCACAGTGTAAACATTACACAGGGGTGTTAGGTAACTAGTGTTAATTACTTCTTATTTTTCCTCTATACAGAGGAAAAGAGGGATATCTAGATGTTTGCGCACAGAGGTTCGCGCACAAGCATTATGTGACATAGATACGTGATCCTGCTTGTGCGTGATCGCTTGTATCTAGGCCGCGACACTGCTGCTGCGTACAGACACTAGTAACTTTTCTTTTTATCTAAAAAGTTGCCTTCTGTACGCGTTACCTCCTTTCTGTCTGTGTAGGTCTATCTAATTATGTTCTGCCTTTACTCTACCTTATTTATTAGGACTTACCTTAGTAATGCTGTGCGTTAGAATAGGCTAGTTATACTATATAAATAGCTTTTTTCTTCTTTATCCTTTGCTTTTTAAGCCTTGCTGTATAATCCTCTAGCTTTCTTCTTTTTTTATACAGTGCTAACAGTAACAGATCTTTATAATAAAAAAGATAAGTGCGTATAATATAAAAAAAAAAAAAAATAAAAAAAAAATAAGCCTTATATAAAGGCGTTGTTAGTCTAGTTAGTCTAAAGCATCTTTACGCACAGGATCTAGCTAGTCTATAAATGCTTCTATCTAGACAGAGAGGTAGTTAGTTAGAACTAATAATTAAAAAGCTTAGTTTAGTATTTTCTTTATACATACATTTACTAGGTTATCTTTACTATTAATTTACTTTATTTTAGTAATTTTTTTTTTATATAATTTATAAAGTAACATAATGTTAATTATAAGTTACTTTTTACTAGTAGTGCTTAGCTTAATAAGGTAATTATATAAAAACTTTAAATTTATGTAGATTACTACTAGAATTAGTAGCAGTTTAAGTGTTTATATAATTTACTATAAAGTTATACTAAAAGTAATTACATTATTAAACCTTCTAACTATTCTATATAGTTTGCTAGTAAGAACACTCCTAGTTACTTTTTTACACTTAGTAGAATTCTAGTGTATAATGTTACCTAGTATTTTAAAGTAGTTACTTTACTTTATATAGTCTTTATTACTTAATATAATTAAGAATTCTAGCTATAAGCTAAGGTTTTTATTATTAGTAAATAATTTATTTATAAAAATAAACAGCTTTACATAATTAAGCTATAATAGTAAGAAGGTAAGACTGCACTTACTATTATTTATTTGCTATTAGATTTATGTGTTAAGTGTGTTAATATTATTATATAAAAAGTCTATAGTTTATGTAGTAATAAAGAGGTTAAATGCTGCCTTTAGTTAACATATAAATATAATGTATACTTTTTTTACATATTACTTAACATATTATTATGCAGCATCTTTATTTTCTAAGTTAATTATATAAAAGTAGCTTACTTATTTTTTTTAAGTAAGAACTACTGTGTTATGTGTAAGTTTAATTCTTCTACTATTAAACTTAATAAGTTGCTTTTTTACTAAAATAGTTTTACTTTTTACATA